TTTTAAGAAAAATGGAAGAACACTGAAAGTTCCTTTGCTGCAAACCAAAGAACAAAGGCTGTCTTGAGGACAATCATTTGCACGACTGTTTGAGTTGCAAGCTAAACTAGCCACTTTTCCCACAGAACATTACGTGCACTTGAAGGAACAAATGCCCAATCCTGTTAACCAAGAGATCTGGCAAATGACTAAGTCCACACATGAGCTACGTGAGCTGGCCTGTTATTTCTTAGAAAACAACTGACCGGGCACCTGGGTGGCTCAGTTGGTTAAGCAACTGCCTTCAGCTCAGGTCATGATCCTGAGTCCCATGACTCAGGATCAGAGGGAGTCTGCTTCTCCCTCTCATCTCTCCCCTCTAATGGTCTCTCTCTCTCTCAAATAAATAAATAAAATCTTAAAAAAAAAAAAAACTGACCATACTTGTTGTCAAAGATTAAAATCTGAGCTTTTGAACAAACGTGAGAATTTCCACAGGCTTGATCTGCCACCGTGACCTCAACAGCTTCTCAAGACTCAAAGACTTTTCTGATGACATGCGTGGTGATGTGAACACGTGTGACTTTTTGATCATAGATCAGGAAGTATGTCATCATTGGGAAGCTCAGCATCACCCCCTCACTCAAGTGATCACTGATAGATGCTTAAATCTTGTGTGCGGTATAGTACCCATTTGAAGTGCCAATGAAACCAATGGCTTCGTCCACTGTTAACAGAGCACAAAACCCTCATTGGATGAACTCTGAGACACCACGCTGCAGCAGATCTCTACAAAACTACCGTTTGGTGGGTTTGAGGATGCCAACCAAGAAAAATACCTACACTCATCTAATAATAAGGCAATCAATGCACTCCTCCCTTTTCCTCCTACTTATCTGAGTGATGCCAGATTTTCAACCCAAATGACAAATCGCGGTAGCCTGACTAAAGGATCAGAGATGAGAATTTAGCGGTTTTCTGTAAAGTCAGACATCGAAAAGTTTTTTATTGTTTGTTTTTGACGTATGGAAAAGTTTTTGCAAAAATGTAAAACAATGCTCTCCTCACTCAAAACTTTTTGTTTGGGAAAATGCACTTATTTTTTCATTAAAGTTTTTTTTTATGTTAATGTGCAATGGGTTTATTGCTGTTGTTTTAAAATAAATTATTGAGGATTTAAATGAGTTTTTGGCTTTAATTTCTGGAACAGTAAATACCTACAGAACTAACCCACATAAACAAGAACTCTTTGGGTCCTCAATTTTGTAAGAGTGAAAGGTGGTCCAGAGACCAGAAAGATGGAGAAATCCTGTCATAAAAAAAATAAAAAGATTTACGAACACAGATCTTTAGTGGAATGGTATATAACGGCAAAACTGAAAAGAAAAAAAGTAGAAACAACTCAAGTGTCCAATAATCAGAAAGTGGCTAAATAAATTACAGTGCCTCCATGTGCTAGAACATTATGTAGTCATTAAAAATTACGTTTTCAGAGAGCATTTATCGTGAGAAAACGCTCGACACACTCGTCACGCTGTTAAAAATGGGGCAGAAGCAAATGTTCACAATCACATTTCGGTAATGCCTTGATTCTCGGGGGAAATCAGGGGACCTAAGTGGGGGCTGAGGAAATCGACAGACTCCCCGGAGGGGTCCCATGGGTTACAAGCTCCCCAGCACATGTTAGGGCTAGAGGCCAGCTCCATTACGTTTAAACGCACACGACACGACTCTTTCTTGAACAATCCTTCCAAACTTCTGCCTTTACACTCACGATGAGACCAAAACTCCTAAACCTGGCATTCCAGACTCATCCCCAAAGAAACAGAGGAATCTTCCACACTTTGTCCTCCCCAAACCTGATTCTTGTCTTTGCTTTGATGTCATAACCCGGGGCTGATGTTCCTCACGTCTGCTTGAGTTCCTAAACCTCTCCCATTCTGGAAAATTCTGGTCTCATCCAAACTCAAACCAAAGACAGGCGCAGGTAGGTAGGGTACCACCAGGGAGGAAGTCCTGGGGGCTTGGCGTTCTCCTGCAAATACCGCAGGGATGCCGGCTGTTAACAAGTGTCACCCAACATCTGCTGCTTACTTGGTTTGCACATTTATTCTCATTCTCCTCACTATGGGCATATAAATCCCTTTTCATGCCCCAGCCTCCTTCTGTCCACATCTGTCTGCAATTTACTCGCCACGTGCCGTGGTTGGGAGGAAGTATCTTATTTATGACTTTGTAGGATGGCAGGCAGGATGCTCGGGCCGGCTGAAGGTGCCCACTGCTTTTCGGGAGCACTGCTGCCTTGAGCTTGGATGGGCTCAGGGCCTCGAAGGTCTGGGCCACTCTAACAGGAATCAGGAGACCAACAGCTCCAGGCAGGTCTGAGGAGGTGTGCCAAGCCCCCTCTCATCTGGCAATCACTAAGTATATGCACTAACAGCACTAGGCACTGGGCCAAGCACTTTATATCTCATTTAATCCCCATGACAACCCTCGGAAATGGCTGCTGTTACTAGCCTCAATGATAAGAGAAATAGCTTTGTTATTGTTACCCTCAGCCAGAGGACTACATAGTTCAGAGAAGGTAAGGAATGTGCCTGAGGTCACACAGCTAGTCAGTGGGAGAGCCCGAATGCAAACCCAGATCTGGCTCCAGAGTGTGCTGTCCCCGTTTCTGAGCTCGGATGGCCTCCCGTCTCTCCTGTCCGACCCAGCTGAATCCCCAGCAGGAAGCAGAGGTGTGTTCGTGCAGTGGAGAAAGTTTCTGACTCTGCTGGTCATTAGTTCTGTGACCTTGACCAAGTTATTTCACCGCCCTGAACCTCATTCAGGTGAGTCCATCTGTGAGAGGGGGTTAATCCTGGTAGGACCGGGGTGAGTGATAGATACTGGCTAGCACACAGCAGGTGCTCAATAAAGCTTTCCTATCATGAATACTGACACGTCCTTATTGTTGAGATTGTTGTTTACAGAGGAGCCCCCACATCTGGCAGATACCTGTGTCCCTGGGTGACCTTTGGTGACAGATAAGACACCTTACAGCCCAGAGCGAGGAAAATATGCCTGTGCAGCTGTGTTCTGTGGGCCGAAAGAAGGATGCACATGGTAACAACCAGCTCTCTGCCCTCGCAGACATCGCCTCATTTAATTCACCAATACTGTCCCATCACTCAGGCCAGGAAACTGAGGTCTGGAGACCGTAGGCAGTCTGTCCCAGGAGCCGGGGAGTGGTAGAGTCAGTGAGCGTCCGCTGAGCCCCCTCCCTATTCCTCTGGGACCAGAAACAGCTGAGATAAGAGGTTCTGTTCCCCTTCTAGGTCCAGAAGGGCAAATGGGGGTGAGGATTCTTCCCCTAGGTAAGATCATGGAAGACAGGTTCCCCTGACCTTGGAAAATACACTGGCAAAGGTGGCTGAGACAGCTTCTGAGGCAGTCCCAACTCTCCACAGGGTTACAAAGCTTAGGGAGACCAGACGACATCAGCTCGCACAGCCCCGGGCCCAGCGACACTTCCCCTGGGAGATTCTCGCCACTTGAGTCTCTATCCTGAGGGAGGAGGGGATGTCAGGAGGCCCCTGGAAGCTGGGAAGCTTGCACGGATCTGCCTGGACTCCTGGATGGCCGCATGAAGAGGAATGTGCGTGTGCTGGGCACGGTGACTTCCCAGTTACGAAGCATCAGCTGGACGACGGCACGTACAACCCACCTGCTCGGGCCTCAAGACACTGCTGAGCGACCCCACTGGAAACAAAACCCCAACAGGAAAGGGTGCCTTGTAGCTAGACCGGGACACCCTGTGAGAAACTCCACGTCCCAACTCTCCCCGCAGGCTGGCATGGCCTGTGTACCATGCTCCTGCCAAAGGGAATCCCTGGCTCTGATTCTGGCTCTTTCCCTGGGTCCCCCAGGCCGAGGGGAGCAGAGATGCCACCAGCCCAAAATGCTCCTCCTGATGGTGACAGGAGACAGAGACGACTTCTTCAAGCTGCCGCTCTGTCCTGGAGATTCTTTCCGAGAGCGACCTGAAATCAACCTAAGCAAGAAAGCCGCTCTGGCTTCCGAAACGAAGTTTCCAGAGTCTGTATCGTTCTAGGAAACGTAAGTGGAAAGCAGGCTGCCAAGCTGGATTGCCTTTTTCTTTTCCCCAGAGTATCAAAGGCAGTAACGGGGCCTCAAGACAACGCTTCGTGTCAGAGTTCTCTGAGCACTGTTAGAGGGGGACTCCCCCAACCTTTCTCGAATCATCTTCTGAGACCCTTCCCAAAGCCCGCGGCATGTGGGCAGGTGGCTTCCAGGAGAGATGGGTGTGTCAGCTGCCGCTGCTGGGGCCCAGGCCAGCTCTGAGGAAGGCCGGCTGCACACGAGGGCCCACCGGCCACGTTTCCTACAGCAGCCTGTGGCGGTCACGTGGAGGTTCCTGTGGGCCAGCTCTGCAAGAAAGCACCTGGCCACCCATGCCACTTCCTCCCCCGTCTTCCTGGAGGGGACCCCGGACACTGCACTTCTTAGAGGGGAGCTTCTCCAGGCCAACCACGGGACAGGGGGCCCCAGCCCTTCCCCGAGAGGCCACCATAGTGAATGAGAGTGGCATGTGGCGCACGAATGTGTCCTCCCGCAGAGAATTCAGCACCTCCGCGCGATCCCATAACCAGAGGTGCTCAAGGACCTCGACAGTGCCAGGGAAGCGGAGCCCAGCGGCTGGGTCAGTAGCCTGGTCTAGCAGAGATGCCACCTGCCATTCATGCCCCAGAGGGTGGTGATCCTGCATGACCATGCTAGAAAGCCTGTGCTGGGCACAGGGATGTGGGAATGACAGAAGCTTCCAACACGCAAGGCAGAATTCTACCAGAAAAGGGACAGGGCAGCTTCAGCTGGGGGTCTAAGCACCAGGAGACCCCCATGTCCGCGCCGCTCCCCCTGCAGAGGAAGGACCCTGGTTCCTCGGCGCCCCTGTGGCCCAAGCCTGAGCCCCAGGCAAAGGAAGGGAGGAAAGTGCCACCAATCATCACTTAGTCACTCACCCTGCAAGGCTTCTTTGGCTCTGGCTAGCTCCTGCTCCTTCTGGGCCAGCTGGACCCGGAGCTCGGTGGCCGAGAGGACCTCGGAGGACTTGCCGCCCTGGGACTCCTCCAGGTCCTTCGTCAACATCTCCTTCATCTGGCGGAGAAGGTGGACCTCCTCCTGAAGCCGAGCCACTTCTTCCCGCAGGAGCACTAGGGGAGAAGGGCACACGGTTAGAGGAAGGGAACGCGGGCTCCTGCTGACTCGCTTTTTCTGGGGACCGTTCCGAGGTGCTTTGGCTTTTCCCGTGTGCTCTGCATTTGAGGCCTTTCCTCGTGTGTGCTGGGGAGAAAACTACCAAAGCTGTTAACCTTATTCCAAGAGCCCCAGCCCCAGTCCTGCGCCCCACCTCCAGTCTGCAGAGCGTGGCTGGTGGGACCACCCAGCATCCCCCCTCCCCCGACCCCACCCCATTCTCCAGGGCTCTGTTGCTGCTGTCACTGCACCAAGAGGGGCCGTTCCAATGGCCAACATCATATTCCCTCCAATGTCAGGAACAAGTGTGAGAACGAAGAGGTGATAGGAGGTGGCATTCTGCTAGAAGCCTGGAGTGCCGAGTTGGGCTTTACATGCGCTATCTTGTTGAATCCTGCGAAAACCACCTAAGGCGGCTCCCACCATCACCTCCATTTCACAGGTTAGGGAGCTGAGGCTCGGAGAGATTGAATCATAAAGTAAGAGGGTAGCAGAGCTGGAGTCTGAACCCAGACTTTGCCAACTCCAGAGCCTGAGCTCCCAGTCTGACACTCAGGAAACAGTCCCCAAGAGGCACACCTGACACACGTCACAGAATGCAGAGCCTTGAGGAACCTGGCACCGCTCAGAGACATGGGCAGCCACACCGGAACACACAGGAGAATGGCGTCAAGTGAGCAGTAACGACGGTGACACCGTGTGTCGAAAGGGGTGTGCACACCACTTACACCCAACCCTACATTCACGCGGGCCCAGGGGCCTTGGGAAGGTACCCGAAGGTGTGCCATCGCCGGCCCCAGGAGTCTCTAGGCCAGCTCAGTCCTGCAGGTCAGCTGATACACCGGCACCCAGGTCTGCTCACCTGAGCCACAACAGACACCAAGCTGAGTTGGGGGTCAGCAGCCTCATTAGGTCTCAGACAGGTGGCCTCTGCCAGACCCGTTACAGAGCAGACTCACAGTCACGACGCTCACCTCATTGGCTGAAGAAGACTCTGAATTATTCACTGAAGCAGGCCCTCAACAACACGGCCTCTCCCTCATTGCTGACCTCATGCATTGCTCTCCCCCCTGCCATATTGGTCTCTCTCTTCGCAACATGCCAAGCTCTTCCCGGCCTCAGGGCCTTTGCCCCTGCAGTGATCTCCACCTCAAACACCCTTTCTTTGTTCTTCCTGTGGCTGCTTCCTCATTGGGCCCTTTATCCCAGCCTCCTCCTCAGACAGGACTTCTCTCACCGCCACGTCTCATCCTGCCATGGGAGCTGGGGTGCAGTCCTTGCCTGTGGGGGCTACGGCTGTAGAGACACTGGGTCTCTAGTTTGGTTCCCTCAGGGACTAGGTATGTAGCCGCGAGCCAGTCCCTTCCCTTTCGAGCCTTAAATGCCCCAAAATGGGTCTAACCCTCATCAGACTGTGAGGTTCCAACGAGACACAGGAGGCAGCCCCCCTGCAACAGGCCTGGTCCAGGATGTCCTCAAGGTATGCAGGAAGTGCTCAGTACCGCTGAGGTGGTGGCCCCGTTTCCCAGGACGCTTGCCTTCTAACAGCGCCTGGCGCTCTCAGGCACCCGGCCGGGCACTCCTCAGGGCAAGCAACGCTGAGTCCCCTCCAGGGCACGGGGCAGACCAAGGGGAAGCAGAGTGAAGGCCTCAAGGATTCGTGGTCTCTCCACCGCCGGAGGCCTTGCGAACAGGTACTTCTGATTTTGACCCGTCCCTTAGTCCTGTGTCTCATCACCTTTTCTGAGGCCTCCCGGGTTCAGCTGCCTTGTGTGCGAAGGGCGGAGGCGTCCCTGCCCTCCCAGGGCCTTCCTCACCCGCCTCAGCCTCCCCCCAGAAGCCTGAGGGCCCGCCTGAAACGTAAAACCTCAACACCTCACTCCCTGCCGAAACCCTCCCGGACCGGACCGGACGGCAGCCCAGAGCCGCCACCAGCAGTCCCGCCCGCCCTCTCCGACCTCCCGCAGGCCACCTCTCAGCCCCAAAGGTGTAGACGCTGCCTGGCTCTGGGCCACCAGGAGAGCTTCCTCCCCTCCTCACAGGTTCCTTCCTGAGGTTGGTCCCAGCCCAGCTACCACCCCCTCCAGAGACCTAAAGCTGTCCCCACCCGACAACCTGAGCAAAACCTTTATCACTGTGGGAGGCCCACTGCTTTATCCCGTCCCTGTGCCCAGCGGACGCCACCTTCCCGCAAGCAGGCCTGGTTATACCGTCCCGTCCCGCTTGCTGTGGGGTCCGAGGTGCCTGCAGAGGGTGTGATGACATATGGACCCCCTCAAGCCATCTCTCCAGCCAGCAAGAGTTCATTGGCATTTGCCCTATGGAAGACAGCCGTCCAGGCACTGGGACCCTTGGCTGAATGTCATAGACAGGTCCCGTCCTCGGGCTGGCACACTCCCAGACCCCACCGTGAACACAGGCCCAAGGACCCCAAAGCCACACTCTGGGAAGGCAGGCCATCTGCAAGGGAGTGCCCGGCTGCTCAGACATGGAGGGGCTCAGGAACGGGCTGTGAACTCCCCCAGTCTCTCAGCAAAACTGGAGCACGGGAGGTCGACTGTGGGCACTCGCCCCTCTCATTCCAGTCAAACATCTGCAGGCTGCCTTCACTGCAGGCCCAGTGTACAGTGTCCAAAAAGGAGAAAGGAGCACCCTTGGCCTCAAGAAGTCTCCAGGGAGTAGAAGCAGCACATACAAGTAAGCATAACACAGATAGCACTGCACGGGCTTGGGGGCACAAAGACATTTGAAATGGGCCTTGGAAGACACATGGGGTGGTAAGCAGACAAAAGCAGCAGCAAAGATGAGGAGGCTAGAAAGCCAGAGGCCCCTGGATGAATGGGTGGAGGTAGTGAATGGGTCTGAGATAAGGAAACTTGGAGAGATAGGCCAGGGTCAGATTATAAAAGGTCTTAACCCTGACCACCTCTCTATGACCCCAGCTCTGCATAGCTTCTTCAGCGGTACTGAAGACTCTGCAATTGTCATCCTTGCTCCCTGCCACAGACTGGATGTTTGCATCCCCCCAGAATTCATGCAGAACCCTCATGTGGGATGGTATTGGCAGGTGCAGCCTGTGGGAGGTGATGAGGTCATGATGGTGGTGCCTACACGAGTGGGATTAGCACCCTGATAAAAGAGACCCCAGAGAGCTTCCTCGTCCCTTCTACCACTTGAAGACACAGCAAAAAGATAGCTGTCTAGAAACCAGGAAGAGGGTTCTCACCAGACACGAAATCAGCCAGTCCCAGATCTCGGACTTTCAGCCTCCAGAACTTTGAGGAACACATGTCTGTTGTTTATGAGCCACTCATTCCATCGCGTTTTTGTTACGAGCCAGAATGGACCGATCCGCTCTCTTCCATCAATTCTCCCTCAGGTCTGTCCCCACTCACTGTCACCAAAAGTCTAGCTCACAAGAAGGTATGAGTAACTGCTCACATGCCCTCATTTACATTTACCTTATGGTGCAGCAGGAGACAAGTCTGTTTGTATTTGTTTGTTTGTTTGTTTAGGGATGTGACTTCTGGGCTTCCTTAAACGCCCCGAAGGTGCCAGTAAGGTTGACTACTATGTCTATGCAGGTGGCAGAGAAGTTCAAGTCGTCTGGCTTTGAATGCAGTTCCGGCCAGGGACTGACTGTGACCGTGAGTGAGCCCTGTCATCTCTCTGGGTCTCCGTATCAAACATGCTACACGGGGATAATGCCACCTGTTGAGGGTTACTGGACTTGGGGTGGGGGAAGCAAACAGCAAAGCCCCCTGCCACGCACAGTTAAATCTGAATTTCAGATAAACAAATACTCTTTAGGATAAGCATGGCCTAGATATGACATGAGACATAAACTAAAAATGTATTCGTTGCTTATCTGAAATTCAAATGCAGCTGGGCGTGCTGTGTTTCGCCTAGCAACGCTACTCCCATCCCACGGGGAATTCTGGCACCATGACACGGGACAGTCACGAGCAAGGGCTTTTTTTGCCAGAGCACCTCAGAGGAGGGAGGTGGTAAAGGGAAAGATCAGTCTGGCCCAGCCTCCCCTGCACCCCTGCGCTGAGATGAGAGCAGAATGCAAGAGGGGGCCGGGTGCCCCGTCCTTGGCCAACAGTGGCAAAGGCGGATTTTTCCTGGGCTCACCTTTCTAACAGGTGCACCTGACACCTGGGCCCCGCCCCTGGAGTCGGGCCCTGAAGCAGCAGGAGGGCGGGACGGGAGGTGCGGCACCTGCAGGAGCTAAGTCTTAGGAGACCAGGCTGGAAAAACAACATTATGGAGAGAGAGAGGCTTGTTGGAGCTTACTAACTGCACCTGCCCTGGCTGGGTGTGCAATCCCAGATCTTGCACACCGTGGATCCTTCCAGAGGCAGAGACGTGGGACAACCCTGGGACGGCAATCATAGAAAGACTCACAAGACTGCAGCCCATTTATGGGCTCTGGGGCCGCGGCAGGCACTTCTCCTCTCTGGGCCTCAGAGGTCTCACCTGTAAAATGGGGGCGAACGGAATAAAGGAGACCCACGTGTAATGTAAAGACAAGCTCGGCAGTGAGCATCATATGTGTGGGCCACCGGAGCCACAACTCCCCTTCCCCTCTGTGCAGGGGGGACTGGCCACGTTGCTCAGAAACAGTGAGGAAGCTGGAGTTGGAAGATCTGGGCTTGTGCCTCAGGGGAACTGCTACAGTGCTGTGTGACCTTAGGCAAGTCAGTGTTCCTCTCTGGGTCTTTCGACACTTCACGAATCTGGACAATTGCTACTGACTGTGCATTTCTTCCCTGGGTGGGAGCAGGGGTCGCTATTCTAGCCTACACCTGCTGTGCTGCTCAGGAAGGCAGCGGCTGGTCACCGGTGGCTATGTAAGTGTAAATTAATTAAAACAAACAACTGAGTTCCTCAGTTACACTGGCCATATCTCAAGTGCCTGTGGATAGCCAGTGGCCAGTGTTGGACACTGCAC